TGCCGTGCCCCATGCCAGGAGCAAAATAGTTTTTTTTGATGTGTGAATAGTTTTTTTTTGATCCTCCGAAAATAGTTTTTTTTTGATCCCTTAAATAGTTTTTTTTTTGATCCCTCACCCTCATTACTAGAGGGAAACTCCACCTCGCAACAGTCTCCTCTCTTACTATATTGGTTGAGGGTTTCCAGGGCAAGGGCCTAGGTCTTTGAGGGTTTGTAAGAGGAGGTATAAAAAGGCCATTTCGAACAGTTTTCAAGGGCTGGGAGGCAATCTTAGAGTATTGCAGGGAATCGAAACCGGTCTTATCTTAGCTTTGGGAACTTATGTCGTCAATAAAGGGGTCCAGATGATTACCAACACTATTCTCTAGGGCTTTGACATATGAACTATACCATACAGCCCGAAGCCCTAAAATACCGGAGATACATCACCTCGAAACGACCCTACACCCTAAACCCTACACCCTAAATCCTAAACCCTAAACCCTAAACCCTACATCCTACACCCCTGAAAAAGGTTCGGGTGAACGGCATTTGCCTCAATGCAGCGCTCAACGCCTGCGAGAAATGCGGGCCGGCTGCATGAGTCAAGGCGCCCTCCCTTTTAGGGTTTAGGGGTTTAGGGTTTAGGGCTTCGGGTTTCGGGTTTTAGGGTTTTAGGGTTTTAGGGTTTGGGGTGTAGGGTTTAGGGTGTAGGGTTGTAGAGTTGCCCCCATCAGACGATTTTTGGTTGTTTTGTTGGGCTTTGTGCGGGTGTCGAGGTTTTATGGAGGTTCGGGTTTACGGTTTAGGGGTTTCGGGTTTAGGTGTTTTGTTGTTCATGGGTGGTCTGCAAGGGGTTCCTTACGAAGCACCAAGGTGGCCAGTGGCAGGTGGCCTTACAAGTTCTCCAGACATTCTCGAGGTCGCCGGGGCGAATCGAGAGCACAGTCGTTTACAATCTACCAAGGTATGTTCTTCATAAGCATAAGGGTTATCTTATATATTGGGCTCTCTGAGAGCTTCAGAATCGTTTCACGGTTTCCCTTGGAGGTTTGCCGTGCTCCCGGATGCGATCAGCACAAGCGCAGCCATAAGTGCATGTGCAAAACAGGGTCAGTGGCGCACGGCTTTGCAGCTCTTGGTGGCTTCTTGGGCTCGTCTGCCTCTCGATGATATCTGCTTCAACGCGGCCATCAGCGCCTGTGCCACGGCGGGGGAGTGGCAGAACCTTTGGCTCCGAGAAACAGAACTGTTCTGGAGTAAGGAATAAGTATGCCTTAGATGTATAAAACATCCAAAAACCAGATGTGGTTTCGGTTCGCCGTGTTTCCCGTTAAAAAACTGAATAGTAGCACAAAGGCCAGCCTTCTGTTTATGGGGTTGATGGCTATATCACCTTGCAGAGCCCGTCTAGAACCGTTTTTAAACAAAGCCCTCAAACTGAATGGGTTTACGGTTTAGGGGTTTTGGGTTTAGGGTTTTTTTTAACAAAGCCCTCAAACTGATTGGGTTTACAAGGAATTCACGGTACCCCTACGCCGAAACCTCAAAGCTGAAGACGTCCTCTCCTTGTACAAAGCTTACGTAAAGGGTCAGGGGACTTAGCAAGCAGGGTTATCGTTAGCGTAGCAACGTCTCCCGACCCTTTTAGTCGCCGCCCTACATCCCAAATCCTACCCAAACCCCAAGCACTAAACTCTAAGCTACGGTAACTGGCCCATATATATATATATATAAATATAAAATACGAAATTTTTAAAAGGACGTATGTATGTATGTATGTATGTATGTTTGTATGTATGCATGTATGTATGTATGTATGTATGTTTGTATGTATGCATGTATGTATGTATGTATGTATGTATGTATGTGTGTGTATGTATGCGTACACACAGACATATATATATATATACACACATATAAATGTGAGCAAAGTTTTCAAGGACGGCATTTCTTCTTCTCGAAGTCATGGCTCGGGCTGCTGTCCGGGTAGATGCTCGGCTTTTATTAGGGCATGTTCTAGTTACTATTGTTAGTTTTGTTATTGTTAGTAGTAGTAGTAGTAGTAGTAGTAGTAGTAGTAGCAGTAGTAGTAGCAATAGTGGTGGTGGTAGTAGTAGTAGTAGTAGTATTTAGCTTGTTCTTGTCATTGTTTTTTTTGTTTTCGTTGTAGGTATCTGAATATAAAAGTATAAAAGTGTTCGTCATTAGTGTATTAGTTTTTTGGGGTTACTAGTATATTCAAACATTACTACATAAGTGTGGGTCTTAGTCATAGCAGTAGTACTAGTATTAGGAATAGTATCGGTATTCGTATTCGTACTATCACCATTATCTGTAGTATTACCAGTTGTATTTGTTGCCGTCTAATTTGCGGGCAGTATAGAAGCCTGAATAATTACTGATGCTATTCCTTCATGTATAGTATAGTCGAACCTCCCTCAGGACCTTATTCTAGTCACTAGGCGTTGTTTACAAGGGCTTCTTGTGGTGGGAAGGAACTTCTGTTAAGCTGTTGAAGGTTGTTCTTTAGGGTTTGTTTGGATGCGATGCAGGGTTTTGACAAAGGGGGTTCTTCCAATCAGCATGTTGAATTATTTTGGCAGGGGATGCAACGAAAGCAATGTGCTGCCCTTCTTATGGAACTTAACTACCCTGAACTCTGAGCGGTAAACTCTCCCCTGAACTCTAAGCCTAAACCCAAACAAAACCTAATGAAGCCCTCCAAATCCCTTCCGAAGGCAGTCCTTGGAGGTTCATGGTGTTTATAAGTCGCGGTTATAAGTCCTGCTGTATGGATTGTAACAGTACCTATAGTTATCCGTTTTCTGTCCATTCTTACAACTAACCACGAACCTTCAAGTACAACTGTTAGATAGAACCTTATCCAGCCACATCAGGAGACTATAGAAGCTCATAGCAACCCTCAATCCTGAAATCGAAGCCGAATCTAAGCCCGAATACTCTTCTAAGAACCTAAACCCCTAAACCCCAAACCCTTCAAACCCTAAGCCCTAAAACCGTCACGCAGTCCGAGGATGCCTTCTACGAGAACCCCTTATACGAACCCCGTAGACCCGTGATAGGGTTTAGGGTTTAGGGATATGAAGCCGTATAGGAAGCCTAAACCCCCCAAAACCTCCAAGGGTGGGATGAAAGTAGGTGGGGTAATCCCAAAATCAAGCGTCTTTTTGTAAGGGATCCTAAATCCTACCTACCCTCATCCCAGCTTTTGAGGCCCCAAACCCCTAAACCCCTCAACCCCTAAACCCCTAAACCCTAAACCCCTAAACCCCTAAACCCCTAAACCCTAAACCCCTAAACCCCTAAACCCCTAAACCCCTGAGGATGCCATCAGCTTCAGCGCGGCCATCAGCGCCTGCGAGGAGGAAGGTCAGTGGGGCCGGGCACTTCTGCTGCTGGCGAGTACCTCAGGCTCATGATCTAGGGGTCTATGGGGTTTAGGGTTTAGGGTACTGTTTTGTAGAGGTGTATCAGTAGCCGAAAATAGGGGACCCTTGTATAGTACCCTAAACAGTAGGATCCTTATTATATGGACCCCAAATTTTGTACCCCTTATTTTCGGACAAGCTCATATGATTTTGAGGTCTATGGGGTTTAGGGCCGACCTTTGGGTTTCTTAGGGCTTAGAATAGGGGTTTAGGGTTTAGGTTTGTTAGGGTTTATAGGGGTTTAGGGTTTTGGGTCTGTAGGGTCTAGGGTTTAGTGGTTTAGGGTTTATGGTTT